TACTTCTGACTTCAATATAGCTTTTTAATAATGACAAATGATAAGATAAGAACTCCAGTGACTTTTTGATCATGATGGAGTGAATCACTGGTAAACTAGACACACATCTCAAGATTTTCATTCCAGCAGGCTGCCTTTGAGGTCTCATCCAGCTCCCACTGACATCAGCGAAAGACCCCTATCTAAAGCCCAAAGAAAGAAGTGAACAAGTATGGTCTCAAAAGCAAGCTGTTTGCTGATGCCATGCTTTTATGTTTGTTACAAATGAGACGACAAGATTTTACTATCTATAGAATTCACTTGGTTGAAAAGCTGTATGTGAAGAGGATATCTTGTGGCTTCAAATACAAAGGTGACAGACTTGCAGGGTATTTCTGCTATTCAAGAAGAAAATATTACCTATTTTGTCTGATAAAATTAAACTAATGCCTCAAGGAAACTTTGCAAAATGTACAATTTATTTAAATGCATTTTTCTGAAGTAGCATAGTACATCATTGTGGGATTCGACCCAAACTGGGCCCCAGTATGCATTTTGCATATTCTAGGAAGCGGACGGACCAGCGTGACCTTGATTTGTGAAGTTCACAGGCAGTGAACAGTGAACGTGTTGCATTCAGTCGGCACAGTTCTGCTGAGTGATGTCAGACATACTTATGGGCCCACTCCGTGCAACAGCCGGTTTCTCTTTTCAGTTAATTCTGCCTTGACTTAGTGGCACAGGTTTAGGTTTAAGGTGGTTTACATTTCTGTATCTTTGCATTGTTCCTATACCAGCTGTTTAATATGAGGCCGTTAACACTTGAAAAGATCAGGAATCTGTACTGTGGATGACAAGTCTGCTTAATCAAGGAGAAGGCTTTCAGACAGTGATGTAATGCATTGTTGGGAGCTTTGCAGGCAAGGTGGATGAGACAGTTGCAGCTCGGAGGTTCACAGATTGGTGTGTACAAACCCGAGAAAAGGTGTTTTGTCCTTGGAGATATGCTGCCCTCACAGCTGGTTCTGTTCTCTTTCAGCCACAGCAGAAAAGGCACTGGGTGGGCTCTCACTGGTCCTAGAGAGATAGGACTCAGCTTGGGGGCTGCTACTTGTGCACCGTAGGCACATTTCAATCACTTTTTGTTTCAACAGGCCCCCTAAGCAGCTGTATTTATCCTTGTGTAGAGATTTGTAAGAGCAGTACTGTGTTTCAGAGACATTAGACATTAGGCTGTTGTTAGGCATTCAGAAAACACCCGTTTCTGCCAGGAATGAAAAGGCTATTTAAAAACTGAAGATTGTTTTGTTTTTAAATCAAAAGTGGCACCATCAAATTGAGAGACTTTTAAGTAAGAGATTTACAAGTAAGTGAATTAATTTGTGGGCATAAACCTCACCAGCCAGGACTCCAAAATAACATAGGCACTTTGGAAAATGCTAATCTTTTTGACTTAATTTTGTTAGAAAACCACAGAGTAAATTGCTCATCCTACTGGCTCTAATACTGAGATCAGAGAGGGAGAGCAAGTAGGATTGGGAAGCTCTTGTCAAGTTAAACTTGTTTCATCATGCAAGGAATTTGTCCGTGATTCATAGATCTTTAAGGCCAGACTATATCACTATGACAATCCAGTCTGATGTTCTGCATAACATAATCCATACAACTTCACTCACTGTATTGTGCCAGCATAGCACAGCCTGTTGCTGGCAATGCCTGAATTCTTTTGTGCTGTTTTTTTCCTTCTTTGAAGGGCTTCTGTACCAATTATTGAGTGGAAATACCTTTAAAGAGCTTATTTTTGTATTGGCTGATTACAGTATGATCATACTATTTATATATTTTTTGAATCAAAAGGCTCTCTGATTTGGGGAAGAACTTTTGCTTTAAAATGATAGCAGATTTTACTAATGCATAGGCACAGAATTCACAGCAAAGTCAAAAAGTTGCTTGTGGTGCCCTTAAAAGCAATCCAATGACCTTCAAGCACAAACCACAGACTAAAAAAAAATTTTTTAAATTGTATTCATTCTTCTAATTAGTTAGCCTGTTCACATGTACTCTATAAAACGTACTTGATTCAGGACACAGGTATTGTTCTTTACATTACTTTGAGCCACGTAATACTGTGGTCCGAGGGGGAACCATAAACGCTTGCGTTCTGGAAGAGAAGTCTGTGAAAAATCTGCATTCGTATTTACAGGTATGCTGCGTAACTTCAGTTTACTGCTACTAAGTTTCAGCAGAAAAAAGTTAGCTAGCTAGCCCTAACTAGCTAGTGGCGTGCATGGTAGAGTGCTAGCTTGGCCCCAGCAAATACATAAAGAAATTCGCATCCTCTTCAGGATGGTATCTCAGAGAAATGCTGACTAGATGCTCTTCATGTCCTGTGTAACAGCTACGACATGCTATGCTTCAGATGTCATTAATCATTTACAGAAAAGAAAAAGGATTAATAATACAGACACCTTTCTTTAACTGCCCAGTCTCAGGCTATTATTTAACTGCTCTGAGGTTTGATTGTTATTTTAACACCTTTAGCAAGTTGTTGTGTAAGCTGTTTGGAAAAAAAGAGGCTATCCGCTGCTTACATAAAGCATTCCGTTCTCTATTTTATAGCTAAAAGCTACTCAAGAGAAAGTGCTCACCTAAAAACGGGGCCAAAATATCAAGCGTGGCCTACTCAAAATCAGTGCCTTACATAAAGTGGGATCCTATTCTGCCAAGACTCAAGGCTAACTATATGCTATAAACACCAGTTACTGTCATAT